AGCGAGCCGCACAGCCGCCTCGCTGTATTCGGAAATGAAACTTACGCCGCACTATACTCTCAAGCAGTATGCAACATTATATAGAGTCCTCTCGTCGCGAAATAGCTTGGGATGTTCGGGGTAGTCAATTTTAGAAAAAAGTCCCCCGCGCCTTCTCCGCGTACGATTTGGGTACCATATAGGTGCCAAATGACTTCAAAGCGGCTCGATAAACTTGATTGGAAGTATATAATGCACACCGTAGACTTTGGTTCAGGTCTAATAGAAACCAAATCATTGACGACTGATGCGGTCGCAGATGCTTTGTGAACCATTATGCTGACCGGCTGGTACTGAGGAACGGTTAGCGGAGATGATTGGTTGAAAAGTTCCTCTACTAGTTCTATTTCTTTGAAGATCACGTCCTGTGGTGCAGCTTGATCCACTAACTCCTTTATCCTCATTAGGTGTGATCTGACATATTTCGTGATTGTTGATAGCTTTTCTTCCAGGAGCTCCACCTTGGAATGAATGTTTACTTCAAAACAAAAAAAGAACATCCAATACCCTGCAACTTTCGACAGTCTCAGTAGCTATATCTGGGTTGGTCATAACGCGTATTACTTTTCTGTCCACGGGTAAATTCACCCACTGAAAAATGTAAAAGTAGGTGAGCTGCGATTGTGACATTCATACTCACTAACCCGTTTATTGAATGCTTGCAGGAGAGCTCGGCCATGCTGATGGATGATATCTGTTGTGGGATTGTACTTGAAGCAATTATCACAGACCTGCAGGAAACAAATAAAATTATCAGCAAAACGCAGACACACTGACCAGCCTGATGTCTTCAGCAAATTCTTCTGCATTCCCGTACTGCTTCGCTTCCAATTTCTTTTTTATCGTTCCAAGATCCATTGGTTTTGAAACAATGTTATAATAATCAGACAACTGCAATTTCTCAACATCGACTGGAGCCAGAAATGGCCAGTTGAACGCCTAAAGGTTAGCAATTCCATTGACGAAATT